ATTTCAGTACTTTTAGCTTTACAACTGTTAACTGAGCTCTCATTATTATTTCTAAATTGATCTGTCTATAAGCTAGATCTTTGCTATTCAATGGAGATTGGTACACAACATTAACTTCTAAAATCTAACCTACAAAAGGCACAAACGTCAAATAATAATGTTATCGAAGCACAAAAGTCAAACTTTTAATTTTGACGTTTGTGTCATTTGGGGGTTAGGTTTTAGAAGTTAATACTGCGTAGAAGACCTTACTATTTTATCAAAGAATTGGGCCATCAATCATTATATATCAAGTAATAGCTGAATTGGATACTTTGTTTTAATTTAATGAAAATTGGAAATAATTGTGAATATAACTGAGATGTAAACATTGTTGCGTTGAAAAATATTTTGAATCATTTTATATTAATATAACATTACCTACAACTTAGTTTTTTGATCATCTAACTAGAAAGAATTGTCTAAGAAATAAAATAAAATAAGGTTTATAGGAAATGAGAAAGAAAAAAGAATGGAAAGGGATCACCGTAAGGAAATATGGTTAGGCACATAAAATAGGTTTAAAAATTCATATTCAAAACATAGAAAATTTGTGGTTATAAGCAGTTGAACCCTCTTAAGTATTTTCGTGCATGGTGGACCGTTGACATATTCATCATTTGGAAGACCAAGGCTGAAATAAAAGTTATTCCAAAAACATAAAGTTTTCATCAAGTTAGAGTTGATGACTTGCATGAGAAGAAATGAAATATCTCGAGCAGCACTCGCTATTGTTATTATTGTACAACTTAGAATTTTTGTTTCAATTACAGTGTTTACAAAATAATTTGTATTTTTTGCATTAATTTCTCTATTACTTATTAGATTGGGCTCCCCCGTAGGTAAGCGGTTAAGAGCGAAAGGACTTGTTTCAGAGGTCCCGGGTTCGATACCCACTTCAAGCAGCCAGTTGTCAGGCAACAGTGACAACGATTTTCTATTGGAAATATAGATAGCAATGTTTCCAAGTGAAAATAGCCCTTGCCCGGCATTGCTGCACCAATAAAAAAAGTCAGCACTATTAGATTATTTCTAATAACAAAAATCATCAAATATGGATGGATTAACCATTGGGTTACCATCTAAAAATACGAAGTAAGGAGAAGTTTCAGCCAACAGCTCATAGGACGTAAGGTTCTGATTGCTGTTAAAAATATAATTAAAAAAAAACTTACTAGATCACAGTTTCTTAATCTGTCGTTTACCATTTTCCAGGATCTGCAGCTCGAGATATCAGCCCAGGGTCGCGTAGTGGGTGCACTGTTGAGAGCCTACGGCAAAGAAGAGAAATCGAAGGAAGAACTAGATTCAACTTGTACTAGCAGCGAAAATCCTTCAGGAGATTGTCCTCGAGGAATTAGAGGATTGGAGAGGAGATATCACCTGTTGTACTTGCGCGCACTTGAGTGGCAGTGCCTGCTGGAAGGACTGCTGGCATCATCAATACCATCGGTGAGTGATCAAATATTCATTATTTAGTTATTGTTTTGTGAGATTGGTGACGTGATGAATAATGGATATTAATATTATAATATATTCGTGGGCAAACGTTGATTTTTCACGGATTTTGAAGGGCAAATCACGGCAACTTGTCCTGGTTGAACTACAAATATATCTTGTCATTGATACTACTGATTTTGATGGGAGTTACTGAACAGATATTAAGTATTCAAGGTGATCCAATATTTTTATACCAACATGGTTCATGCCGACAATATAATCGAATAAAGCTTCATTCTTTTATTCGTGAAAGAATTCTTCAATAATTGCTATTAATCCTAAGAACAAGTATGCGCTTGGCAGCTATGAAATTATAAAATATGTCTCCAATTTTCTAATTATAGAACCTGTGCCCTTAGATTAGTTCATAGGCTATTAACCTAGTTTTTTTCGATGTTTTTGGAACATTGTGTTGACTTATACATGCCAAAACGATTAGTTCTTGATATATTCGGAAAAAAGTCTATTGCTCAACATTTGTAACTTTGTAAAATGGTAATCAGAAGGTTTCTGCAAGATTAAGTATTCAGAACAAAATTAATATTTTGTCTGAGAAGCCATGATTTTAAGACTATATAGTTTTTTTTTTATTTTGCACTTCTATAACTTTGATTTGGTAAATAAAAATATATACTTTCATTTTGATTTGTCGGACAAATTAAATAGTATAAATTAAAATAATGAATGAGTTTGTGCTAACATTAGGTGTATTTTCTTGTTTTTTTGGAAATGTAATTTGGTCTCAAAATATATTTTTTTTAGTAAATATGATTTTCAAGAGCTGTTCTTGCACCTAGGCATGATAGTTAGCTTTAGTAATATCTTCTGCATGTATTTTATGAGAATCCTCTCTTTTATTCTCATTTTTTTTTTAATTATAATTATTACTACATAGTAGATCAATCGAAAGTATATTGCATTTGTCTTCAAAGTTGACGAATATATGAATTCATTAATGGTCGTCATTATTGCCAAATTCTAGCCTATTACTCAATAATCTTTTAAAAACAATAGGTACATTTATACTTTATTAGATTTTTTATCATCTTGATTATTAAGGCGTGCTTAAAACCAACCAAAGGATTCTAGTAACACACGACTTGTTTATAGTGTTAATTCCAACGAATTTTTAATTTTTTGCAAGTATTCTTTAGCGTTGTTCATAAATATTAGTTGTGGTTGAGTAGCACTTTTATAGATAGTAGTAAATCTTCTTAAATAGTAATTAACATCACCTACTTGTTGAAATTTATCGACACTAAAAAGATTCACTCGTGTCCTCTTTCGAGATGGGTAATAGGAGATGTAGATGTGTTAATTAGCACATCTAATGAGTTGCTTTTCCTTATATATATATATATATATATATATATATATATACATGTCGTATATAGTTATATAAATTTGTATAATAGATATATAGTATGCAAATACATCTCTATTCCAACAACTATTGAAGTTGATACGCGGTTAGTAGACGAAAATAGTCAGGGTCTTAATTTTTCAAATTTAAATAATTTCTTTAAACCTTCTTTTATTTGATATTTTTGTCATTCAAAAGTGATATTTGCATCTTTTTTATCATCTTGGTTAAAGCAGACACATAAATTTTCAACATCCATATTTTTTTTAGAATTTACATAGCAAGTAACACGTAAAATCCTGAACATGAATGTTAAAAACTTAATATATAGTAAAGTGTAGTGAATTTTCAGTACAATAACGAAATTTGCAAAATTTTCCAAATAGAAATAATAGCAAAAGTCATAAAATCAAAATAATGACTTGGTAGATATGTATTCTAAAAAATAATTCACAATAGCATCAGCTCTGTCTTTATTTATTGCAAAGTCCACATCATCCATTTCTTCACAATATCATTGCAGACATATCCCATCTACTAATAAGTGGGATAATAATAGTCGAAGGCGTCTCCATTACTCCGTTACTCCATTACTCCATTAGTCCATTGTCAACCAAGAGTGCTCTGAAAGAACTGTAATAGATTTATGAGAGTTCGACGATAAATGCCATTTGCAATTGCTTATGCAAATATCAGTTGAACAATTTAGATTTAGATCAAATCGAGAGTTTGTTTCGATGTTAATTTAATATGAAGTGATTGCATTGGTCTGAGTTTCAATTGACTGATCTATAACTATGAAGTTCAACTTCAATAAAGCTTAATTTTTCTGACGATATTTACTCTATTTCTAATTTTGGCAAATAGGTCATGTAATTTAATATTTGTGATGGGAATTGGGAATTTTTTCTATCTTTGAAGTTATTAAAATGGAAAATACTTTTTAGGCAAGACATATATTACAGCTGTTCAATGAATGAGATTATATCGCAAAAATGTAAAAAAAATACAAGCAGTCAATTAATGTATGTTAGTTTCAATTACATTAAGTTCTTCAAACACAATTACATGATGAGTGAAGTTGCGAAAACAATATTTATTTAGGCGTTGTTTTACATAATCCACTATGTGAACGAATATTATAGAATTTATTAATCAGCAATTACTTCATTTCTCTAATGAAGGTTTATTTCTAAATGCTAATTACAATGACAAACAGATCATGTCATATTTGAAGTATGACTTTAATTACATTATTGTTTTTAAATATTGTACATATTTTTAGTGCTATTATAAATATATAATTTATAATTTATCATTATATAAATGTGTAATTAAAATTAAAATACTACTTTTGTGCAGAGCTATTTTTCGTTTTTAACTTTTCTTATATAGAATTAAAACCACTTTTGACCAAGAATAGCTACCACAATTTTGGCAACATTTTGAACGAAATAAGTGTGACCTTGCCATAAGATGTGTAACCAATAATGAACCCATTATACATAATTTTAAAGAGATTTATTAGAACACTGCATTTTTTTTAGTATGATGTTTATAACCGATAATTATTTGGAATTTACAACAAAAAGTTTTAACTAACATTTTATTGCATTTTTAAATCTCATTTACTCACATGCAATAAAATTGTTTAATTATACATTCGGCACGAATTGAAAACTCGTTCTTAATATTGCAGTGTGCTGTAACTTCAATTGAATCATGATTGAAACATATTTTACGATTGTGTTGTAAAATTAAGAATATATGTTTATTGATTTATAAAAGTGCATTTAGTTTCATAAAACTGTGCGTTCACTTGCAACTTCAACAAATAACTTATCTTACCGTGTTTAAATTAACCATATTATGACTGACGCATAATCAACATGTCAGGAGAATTGTATAGAAGGAGAGCTGGTGGTAAATGTGTGTAATATAATCTACTAATTGTAATCAATAATGATGTCACACTGGACAAGTGATTTAAATTGTCCAATAGGAACTAATAGGAATGATATAATTTATATAAGTCTAGAAAAGTAAAGTCTTCAACACTTCTGAAAATTTATAATAAATAAATATTCTTATAATATAAAGAAAATTTTAATTTAATTATTTCTATGTACCTTCTTCGAAATTATATTTTTGTGACATATGTCAGATTAAGAAATAGATCATTAGTAATCGTTGTTCCTTTTCTAAATCTAGAAGTTTTTCTCAGCCCACCTACTCTGAGGTGTAGATTGAATAACTTTACCATCTGACAGAATCTTGATAGCCGTTTCAACATTTTATAGAGTCTCATAACGTTCAAATCAGAGAAGTTTAATTAGAATGCCATTTCTTGTTTTTATTTTTTGTTATGGTAAATTAATTTTGATGCGTTTTGCTTGTTTGATATTTCTCTTTATGTCAGACATTTAATTAATATATAAGCAACTTGAAAGGATTTGATAAGTTGGAAAAGTGGATCAAATTGTAAGTGACTTATTGCCAACGGGATGAAATTGCTACGGCTATCAAATGTACTAACACCACAGATGAAGTTATTAACTTATCATGGTCAATTTGTCATTTAAATAATAATAATAATTATTTGATTACAATTATAATTATTTACAAAGCAATTATATTGCTTGCTCTAAACTGGATAAACCGTAATTATTACTTTCCCTGAAGAAAAGTTGATAAATTTGTTTTCTGTACGATTTTCAGAAGTCAACAAATTTTAAAACTGGAAAATGTATGTGTGTGTGTGATTATATATATTTTTGACGATTTCTCAAAAACATTTAAATGATTTCAAGCCTTTAAGTAACAATTGAGTAACTTAATAAGAACCTAATTAGTTTTCGATAATGATCGGCCAGACCTTTTCTTTATATATAGCACAAAAGTGAAACATGTTTTGTTCAAATTTTAGCCAAATATTCGTATTTTTTTTTAAATTTCAAAAACTGTTCAAACGATCTTAGTTGGGAATCGTGTTGATTAGTTTTGGAAGATCAGCCGCCTGTTTCTTTCGTCATTAAAAGTTAAAACTTTGTTTTGGTGTTTTAAATGAAACTTAACATGCCGATAGAGTTCATGGTCTAAAATCGATTATCTTTAAATATTATATATTGGTTAAATTATAGAAAACATTGTATTTATCATCAAGAGTTGGCCTTGTTTATGACGAGTATAAAAACAATAGAGTAATGACAGTTCAATGTTTTATAATCGATCAAATATTTTTAATACATTTTTTCACGTTTATACAAAATTCATTTTCAAAAAATATTGGCCTGGAGAAAGCATATCTTGCATAAACATCCATTGTTTTGGTTTCTCTGATGATTCATCAATTATAAAGGACATACCTATTTGCAAAGAAGCATGTCTCCACATGCTCCAATTCGCTGACAAGAAACCGTGGTGTGGTGGATCGTGGTCAATAACGAGGACTGCAACAGTTTTCTAATGACTTGTCTGCAAAACTAGCCTAACACCAGCTTTTCTGACTACCATAAGCATCCATTGTTTGGTGTCTCTGATGATTCATCAATTATAAAGGACATACCTATTTGCAAAGGAGCATGCCCCC